AACATAGAAATACCGATTTATTTGAATCAATACATGATTAGTGATGATAAGGACGCAAAATGCTAATAAATATTGATGTTTCATAGAATTTCATTATAAGTATTTTAGAGTTACTTCTTAAAAGTATTGGGTAACAATTTTAAGGCTTAAGCTTGTCAATAGTTACATAATAATTTTGCCTGTCTTTAGCAAAAACAGATACTATTTTTTTGACTATGTTATTGATCGAATTTTAAACAACAAAATGATAAAGTAAATTAATTAAGGAAACGCAGGGAAATCATATAAATTATTAATGAAAATAAAAACTGTTTTAGAGCTATTACTGTGACTACGCTTACAAACAAAGATTTTAATTACTTTAGGGATGATATTATGATCTTTCACTATATGACATTTTGTTAATATTCCAAATTACGATCGCTAAGGTTACTCTTACTTTTTAAATTATTAATATCTGCAGATATTCCATTTCCTCTACGTCACTCGGATATTTTATCCCTATAATTTTTAAAGCATAAATGATCATTTCAATTAAAATTATATCAAGGTATGGTTTACTTCGTAATATAACCATATACCATACATACATCAGGATGCGTTTCGCATATTTTGACTACTTCAATAATAATAATACCATTTCGTGACTACTCTAGCTGGATATTTAGTTATGCCAGCAAACTCTTTCAATTGATCTCTTTACCATAATTAAAATTTTAAGAAATTTGTGACGAAATTGCCATAATTGAGTTCATTTTTTAAGAAACGATTTATTGTAGCTATATGTCAATGAAAATGTATTTAATCAATATCAATGCAAATTAAATCTACGTATGAAATGCGATCGATAAATATTTCATCAAATTTTGAATTAAAGTAGTCATAATTCATATTTATGGATTAATAGACTAAAGTCAAAGTATTAAGTTCCACTTTTGTCGTATTCCCATATTCACGTATATCGACTTTTGTTTTCATTTTATGCCTACAAAGTTTGCCTGCTACATCTGACAATGTTATCGTAAATCGCATGTATTTTTTACGTAACTATTTCCTAGAGTCAGCTACTGTATCTTGGATAACTAATTACGGTTAAATATATAATACATATCATTACAGCCATGGGAAAGCCCATAGATTTACTTATTAAAAATCTCCTAAAATCATTATATTAAATAAGGCAAACAATTCTACAGCACGAAATGATAGATGCAAGGTTTCGGACTGTGATTATAATCTCATGATCTATGCAATCGGCCTACAGCTATGGAAGGCTATAAGATACTATTTGAACTTTAACTTCAACAAGAAAATTGTTCTTCGTCCTCTTAAGATTCATTATCTAGTAATATTCTGAAAGTAAATGATTAGACTGAAATATGTAACTCCGTAAAGATGTACATACTCAAGGTAAATAAGCTTGACTTTGTTACCGAAAAGCAGCTGCCTAAACTATTGATGATTATCATCATGATAAAGATTAAAATGTTACTTCCACTCTTAGAAACACTAAGTCTCATAAAGTTAAATAGATAATCGTTGATTATCTTCTAAACGAATAAAACTGCTTTTTAAAATCTCAAACGCCAGTTACAATCGGCCATTCACAGCTCGTAAATTGAAGACATATTTAAAACTAGTGTTTTAATTATAATCGGACTGTAATGAGATATCAGCTCGAGCAAAATATTCTTGAAAATTACAAAAGTATTTTACTGTAGACATTGAAATGATTTGTATGCTAGCACATTCTAATGGCATAAGATGAATTTTCGGGTTCATGAATTCAAAATGTAAATTCTTTATCTGTTTTTTATTACGTCTGTGTTGGATAAGGAATTGTACCGTAGTAGCTATTTAATTATAATGGTAATCATAATTTTTTATATGATTTAATTTTTATGAAAAAATTTTGTATTCAATAACATAATAAAATCGATACTTTAGGGAGGAAATTTTCGACAGGACAGACAACAAGATTTAATAATAATTTAACATTTGCATGATCTGTATTAGTTAGAAAGTATGATTGATCTCGCAAATAAGTTCGATTTCACATTGAGATTTAAATCCTTGTTATCAATTAATTGCAATATACTGCATAGCTTAAGAAATATATCAGTATCTGGGACGAAATCGAACTGTAGGTTTGTCTTTAAATTTCAATTACATACCGCACAAAATTGCCATGATGAAAGAATTATGTATTTATCGTCATCCTTTAGTAAAACGATTATTACAATGCGCTACCGCCTATACTTACTTTCATGGTGATATTTTCTTTTGCCGACTATTCAAGTATGTCGATGAAGATTCTATTTATGTATAATATGAAGACAAGATGACCAATTTCGTCGCTATGGCATAGTTGCTATTTTTCGCTCTTTTACTGTTTTTGGCAGCTAGAAATTTTACGCGGGTTGAAGTGTGACGAGCAACACCTTACGAAACAATTAATGAATAGCGTGGTAAATTTAGAGTATTTTATTTTTTCCGTTCTTGTTTTATTAGTTCAATTTGGAATTTAATCGTTGACTTATATTTTGATAGAATATAGGAAATTTTTAGTCATTTAGCAGTTTCTAATAGTAGTAAAAGGTGACCTATTATACGATTAATTCATTGGTAAATCGCTGTTACAAATTCTCAGTATTCCTTTTCCAAGAAAATAAAATTTTGTCTACGTTCAATTGTTTATTAGTGATATGCAGACCATATTTGACGGTAAAAATTCTATAATTAGCCTTAGCCAAGTTAACAAAGCATTGTCATGACCTCCGATTGAAAAAGAAGATATTAGGTAATTAATCTTTAACGTTCATTGATCTTGGTTGATTAACGTGAGTTATCTATTTACGTTATATCATAGAATTGAACTTAGATATATATGTATAAGATATAAGAATTCTCACTTTGCGCAGATAATCAAAGGAAATTTGCTATCATGATTAAAAATGAGTTATCAGAAGGGAACTCGGAAATGTATAAGAACAAAGACTGGGATCTTTAATAGACTTCGAAAGTAAATAAAGAAATTATGATCAAATAAGATGGTAAGGACTTGCCATGCTAAAATTGGACTAAAAATTGTAAATCCGGCGATCTAGCTTTAAATTAATTTCGGCCTTTAACTTTAATTACGCAAGCACCTAAACCTATTTAGATATTCCAAAATTGGAAATTGGAAATTGGATTGTAAAATCTCTACGCATGGCAGATTTGTTCGAACTCTCAGCTAGTTTAAACTAGACTATCCTTCATTAAATTTCTTGAATGGCTGACGAACGATAGGCGATTGAGTATTTTTTCTATAATATTTTAACGAAATAATAAATAGTCATGACTTTGAACCTTTTATTATTGAGACATGAAAATTAAGTACTTAACACTAATTTGAATGATTCTTTGGGCCGTTAAAAGAATCTCATCGATAGATCAATTTTAATAAGTGGAGAGTTTATACATGTTGATCAATTAAACCTGCGTTTTCAAAGAGGAAGAACTATCCGGCATTTATTCCAATCTACTACAATAGATGAATATCGACCAGTTATATTAAATTAGGAACATTGTTAGATGTTGATGGCGTCATAGCAGGAGAGCAGCGTAACTATGCAATCAATAAGTCTTAAACATGAATTAACAGACACTGATATACTGTAATTATGTGATTACTATCGTCGGGGAATAAAGTAACCCTAATAAATAGGTCCAAGATTGTGACTACAACTAAATTTACATTTATAAGCCAATCAATTTTCTTCTACAAAACTCGTTTTATCTTATTTTTATTCTGCAAGTTATTCACATAATTTATAATTGAATTAAATTAAAATGCTATCATGTACCTTTTCTCTTAATATCAAAATTAGAAGATATTTGTCCTAAAATTTTAGGATAACTTGATTATGATCATATTGATAACATTTACTTAGGGATTATTAATTAGTTAAAAAAAACCTTAAAATCGATAGAACTTCCGAAATGATGGTATTATTCGATAAAGGAAAAAGATTATCTGATCGTTTCTATTCGGTAACTATGGGAACTTATACAATTTATCCTTTCCTTCTATTTTGAATCAATGAAACACCAAATAGAGAAAATAATGTTAGAACTAACAAACTAAACAGTAGAGGCCGATCATGGTGAGCATTTTGGATAATGATTAGTAAGAATTTCAGAAATTTCAATGACCCTAACCGGGGGAATTTGCAGGCGTTTTGATTCGATGGGTATACAAGCAATAATTTACCGACGAGAATGGAGTCAATATATTTCAGGTAAATGTCACGCAAGGAATTGAAAATAACTTTCATGATCTACCCATTCTTTACATTGCACAAACCTATTCAATTACCTCATGGTATTCCTAATCCCATTTACTTTTTAACACTTTATTCGCGTCAAATTTTTTTCCATGGCCTTATTTTTTGAAGCAGTTCACGTCATATTCATAACATAAACAGCATAAAAGAAATTCAATTTCCAGCCATGTTTTATTCAGCCATTTATGCCTCCTGAGATATAGGTATAAAAGAACTATTAAATAGTATTGAAATATGTATTGAATTTTAAAAATGTACTGTAATGTTATTATTCATAAATTAGATTGTGAATGAAAATTATTAATTCCTTGCCAATAATGCTGAATGGTTACCTTTAGCTAAATGAATGCCGCTATGATAACAAATCATTCATACAATTTTATTGTCCTTAGGTAAACACCAATATCGTCTCGACATTCTTTTATTTAAATTCAGATGTTTCATCCTATTCAGTACAGTCAGTGTCGAATACTGCATCCAAATTATTTCATCGAACATAAACTAATGACTGTCTTTAACGAGGATAAAATCGATTTTTCCTTGCAAGAAGTTGAAAAATTTTGACCATTTATTTCCTACTTCATGTCTATTCTAAAGTAAATAGCACAACTTTAGAATTATCAATACAAAATTTCTATGATATTAGGATAGAATCACTCTTACAACAAAACGATGTCAGCAAGAAATCCACCTTTAGTTGTACTACATATTCCACATAGGAGTAAAGTTATACCTAGTCTATCACCATTTTGTTTAAAATTAGAAACTTTCCTACGTATGGCGAATGTCCCATATCAAATAAGCTATGGGATGAAACGATCTAAAAAGGGAAAATTGCCCTGGATAGAAGTTAATGGTGAACAGATCGACGATTCCAATTTTTGTGTCAAACATTTAGAAAATCTATTTACCGTCCATCTTGATTCACATTTAAATAGTCAAGAATTAGCAATATCGTATGCTTTTTGGAAAATGCTGGAAGAAAACACGTATTGGTAAGTTGTAATTAAGCTTACTTACTAATTAATTTTGATATATAACGTGAATACCCAAAGTGGAATAATAATCTTTAAATTAATACGTTTTAAGTCGATTATCTTTATCGTTACCCCTTTCCTCTATGATGGTGCTATAATTTTGCTTTCTATTCTCGAAAAATAAGGCAAAAATACTACAATTGGCTTTAATATAACATAGATGAAAACTAAGAATTGACTTCAGAATCAGATACAACGTGAATATAATAATTATGGCGCTAAGTACTTTAATTTGGACAAGTATTGATCAATACAAAAATTTTTGTTTTATCCAATTAGTTTATTTTGCTATTGTGGGCAGTTTTACTAGATTTTAATCTTTGGTGATAAAGTCTTAATAATTTTGTGGACATACAAGAGAATGTTAGTATTCCTTTGGAATGCCTTTCATTGACTTCTTACTTTTTCGATAAAATTTAGAAATTATGGATTGTACACCAATAGTCATAAGATCTACCGTATACCCATTCAGCTTTCGTTTTCGAGTATATAGTCATCTAGATAGCAAAAAATTTACGGCATTAAAAGACGCCAAACGTCTTCCTGATGAAGATTACTGTCAATATGTCAAAATTTTATTCATATGGTAATTAAAAAGGGCACACGGAATTACTAATAACTTGAATAATAACATTCAATTTTTGACCTGAACTTCAACACGCCGTAATCCAAGATATTAACTTAGATAGACAGTTGCCTAGCGAAATATGTAGGAAAAACTTTTAGGTCCTTATCAGAGTATTTCTAATTATAGATTCTATAGATGTGTGGAAAGTTAAGTCATAGTTCTCATTTCACTACAATTGATTCACCAACATTTGTTCATCAGACTTATTGTCTGGCCAAAGGTGGCAAACTTTAGCCATTTCTAGCTATAAATTCCACACACTTATTAAAACTCAACCAATAGCCCCAGCTCTTTGCTTTAATACATTAGGCAAGATATATTCAACAGCCTTTTTACCTTACTAAAATAGGCGCAAGTATTAGCCTATGAACACTTCAGTGTCTTATTTTCGAGTACTCGTATCGCAAGGTCAATTTTCTATAAGGAAACTAACCAATTGAGAAAAAGCGACTGTCTGCAAGCGTTATATGGCTATAAAGTACACAAGCTTGTATGGCTTTTATGATTTCGAAGTAGCTATAACTTTATTATGATTCTATTAAACATTGCAAAACATCAATAAGCTTGGAGATATACATGATTTTGAAAATTAAAATACTGGCAACCTTTTCAAGCAGATATTATTACATCATAAGTGCTTTTACATCTGATTATGAAATTCTCATAGAATACGTACGCGTGAAATAGATATTAGAAGTATCTTCTATGATCATGATCATTTATTAAAGCGGTAATAGTCGTAAAATAGTGCAGAACCTTAGAAGAATATCTATTGCATTGAATGACAATATAGACGACATAGGCATTAGCTCTAAAAGACCAGCTAGCTAAATTATTAGCACGAATAATACCGACGTTGTGAGACGGCTTTTCGCAAACAGCAACAGCGTTTGCAATTACGCTAAAGAGAAAGTATTTTTACTCAGAAATCATTAAAATGTCAGTATTTTTCGATAAAATGTGCTAAAGTTTACTGTTTTCCAATACATTAACAGTATCTTCACTTAGTGCATGACTTTGATCATTCTAAGATTCACAATTATACATCATTGAAGGTGGTATGCTCATCATACTGCTTCGACAACCGGCTGATTTATGTAGGTGCTTTCTAATAAATTTTTAAGAATCATCTCAGACAATGTTTAATTTCTGTAAAGTCGGTTTTCGCCAATGGTACTGCTAGCTACGGTACTCAATGAAGGCCTTACAGATGCATTCATTTTTCGAAAATACCATTAAGGCCTCTAGGTATATTTAATTCACTTCATGTGGTTATTCATATTTTCAATTATTTATAACCTGTATTGAATTTTGCATAGTTATCATTATACGTAAAAATCTTGAGATCTATGTTCATTATAATAATGGAATTAGGAAATACTTTGTTACAATAATAAATTTACTTAAATTAAATAATACCGAATGCGGGGCTCATAGCTTGTTTCTAATTTATCTAACCATCGTTACTTTTCGGTAGCAAAGTAATAACCAACAAAAACTTAAATTAATATAAGATATTTATAAGGAATGATTAGTAAGTCATCCACGTCTATTTTGAATTGATTTAACAGATTTACCGTTAGACTAGAGATAAATTTGGGATATTTTAGCAACATCATTTTTTAATTTGCCTACGTAATTGCAATACTAACAAACTTTGGTGTTTTGATTTCTACTATTATAAAAGATTTACTCCTTATTAAGATGGAAGCTTTTAAAAGCAGATTAAAGAAGTACAGACGTTACTTCTCATCGTACGTCTGCATATTTTTAGATTCATTAGTGACTATATCACCATGGTTTAATGACTATGCCAAGCAACGATATATTACTTTACCTCTCATTCAGCGATGTTGACAATTATTATTTCACATTGATGTCGTGATTGTCAATTTTTCTTGTCAGCAATATTGAAACTATAAGTATAGCTTCGAGATTGGCGTCAAAGTGATAACAAAGACAGGCCATCTGATAGTCAGAATAAATTCCTCAAGAAATAGTCAAGAATTTTTGCGTACCATGTCACGCGAAAATTTTTCAATTGTTGCCCCATTTCCTGCGTCATGTTCAAAAAGGTTTTCTATTTCCGTCGTTCTGCTTACACCACGTCGTAATGAATAGGAGAGTTACCTACATAGCCAAAAATTTTATCCCATTTCAATCAAACTATTCTTTCCCTATTTTCGTTGCTCTTACCGATCGATTTGGATACTGCCTTGACAAATGGTTGATGGACGCTAAACAGTTCATTGTAATGTAGACTATTGCAACGGTTGTTCTATAAGCAACTTTGCTATTTTATGGCCTATCGCTGGACGTCATAATTTTCTTACTGTAGTAGATTACCTAGTATATTCAAAGAATTGAATGATAATTTACTCGATAAAGAGTTATATTCTAATGACATTAATACTTAGGATAACCTCTTTCTCATTTCATACCGTTAGGGTTATATTATATGATCGATGGGTTAGTAATTATACTACGTTTAAAAGTGAATTTCTTCAAGATAGCTATCCAAGTATTTTGCGTAGCCTCGCTCCAGCTGTCTTACAAAAGAACTATAAAAAGCAATTATTTGCTCAGGGTATGGGTCGACATCATCCTGAAGAAGTATACACCATTGGTCGTAAAGATTTAATGGCTCTATCGGAATTTTTAGATGATAAAACATTTATGATGGGTGATAAGCCTTGTACGGTAAGTAAAAACGACGATGATTTGATAATAACTCAGTCATTCTTTAATTGAAGACTAAAGATTGGACATGAATATTGCTAGTTTAGATATTATGATAATTCTATTAATTATTATGTTGTTGCAATATTTTATTGCTTTGTGTAGCCTTTTTTATTTAGTACTACAACTTTACTTTTGTCACAAACCAGCTGCGCGACCAAGATAACGTAAAAAAATCTCGAAATTACTATAGTCTCCGGAATTCAGTATCCCTTAACTATCTCACAAGGATTTAGAAACCTTTGCTTCTACGTTAAACAAATATAGAATTCTTTTTTTATTTAATTATCTGCTGAGCTTAAATACCCTTATAAGTAGATACAGTCAGTCGATTTTAGTTCGAAAACAAGAATTCCTTGTCATTAGCATTCTTATTAGATCAAATATATAAGTTATGCCTATCATAAATGTAATGCACCTGCGGTGATATTGATTTAATATGTTCTAATAATCGTTTTTAATTTTACTGTTGTAGCTGGACGCAGTTGCCTTTGCCGTGATTGCAGTCATTTTATACTCTTTACCAAACTCAGAACTTCAAGCGTATTTAGCTAGCCGAGATAATCTAGTTCTCTACTGCAAAAGAATGAAAGAAAAGTACTGGTCTGACTGGGATGAAGAAATAATTGGACAAATTAAATCATGATTAATTGATGGGGTATCAATTTTAAGCTGGTAGCTAAAATATCGATTTAAATTAATAATAAAAGTAGTGGTAAAGATTGTGTCGAAATTATCATTTCTTTTAACTCAACATTCCAGATTTTCGGTACTAAAGCAAATAAAGATTTTATCCATTCAACTAGCTCATAATTTAGATATCCATTGAGAGCAGTTAATTCCTTCATGTAGCAATAGAGCTGAAAACGAATGCATAGGATACCATGTGTAAAACGATTATAGCAAAGACGAGAGATTTCAAAATAGTATAGGTACTAATGAACCCTAGATAATTGCTATGATTCCAATTCTGTTGGCTACACTTTTTCGACACTTATCCATTTACATACCTAATTGATAGAAACATTTTGCTATAAATGAATACTGTATTCGTATGTAAAAGACGATACCATTTCTTTGCTTAAATAATGGTGAATAAAGCAAAATTTCATCTAGTTATCTCATAAAATAATACAATGTTGATGCTATATAGTGGTCTAAAATAGTATCCATCAAGTCAAGGGGGTTATTAAGCAGTTATTTGCAAAGAACTAGGTGTAACATCTATGGGGATAATTGAAAATCAGTTAGAAAGCTATTGGATACATATTCCTCCGAATCGCTCCAATTTGATCACATAAATTTAAGGATTCCTGAATTGTTTCTGTATAACTATGTAGTATAATAGTATCCCATTTCTATGCAGATGCTAATACAGTAAGATTCTATAGATACTTGATATAATGTAATAAAACGGTGTGGAATGGCGGCATTTTTTTTAACAGCATGATTCATCCTGCTGTTATATTCAGGTCTACAGTAAATGTAAATGTCAAGCATAGCAAATATAGAATTGAGAATCGAAATCAGATAAAGTTTAATTCTACCAACGTTGTTAAAGTTAGCATTAGCAAAAGGTCAGTATTACCACATTTCTGTTTGATATACGATACAAGCATGCTGTATTATCACTAAACTTATATTATACATCTAGATTATTTGAGATACTCATTTTATCAAGTTTTGATTTGTATTTACTGTTGTTGTACTCTTAGTAATAATTAGTTGAACAATATAAATTGAACTAGCCGAATAAGATGGTGTTAAAATTCTTGATCCAATTAGCACACTCATTATAGGATAGTTGGAGCAGTTAATGTACTTATTGTACTTCATAAAATACTGTACGAATATAAGCTTCTAGGATTCTATGCTGCTCAAAAATCAGTTAGTATATAGCATTGGAAGAAGATTTATATCAGAATAAACTGATTGTCGTATAATATCGAGGCAACTAATAAAGATGCATTATAAGTAAACCACAGTCTAAGCTTATTTCTCGTTCACGACATATATATGAGGCATCGATGTGATCTTCGTATAAATGCTTGCCAGCCTTGTTTTTGTACAGCTAGATTAAATGAAATCTTTAGTAAAGCCCGAAAGTATTACATTCGTATATCAATAGTAACATGGTATACACTGTTGATATCTTGAATTACGTAGAAATTTATTTATAAGTGTGTCACAACTACACTTATGACACAGAGACCAAACTAATGTACTATCTCTCAGCTATCTTACATTTAACGTGACTCTATGTAGTTCTAAAATTGTAAATGAGCTAAGCTCAGAATGAGTACGATCCTTTTAAGTGAAATTTTTATTTTAATAGCGTGGCTTACTAATAGATCAAATACAGTAGCTCCCTTTAATTAATAAAGGGTGGACTTATACACTTTCTTAAGCCAATAGGTGCCATCTTTAAATTAATCACTAACAAAATAAATAGCTTACTATATACCGATTTGTACGTGGACGAATGTTGCACTATTCGTGCAACATTCGTCATCTTAAGTATAACATTATAATTCCTATATTGAATAAATTAAACTCATACATTTGTTAAAGGAAATCCATTAACCATCCAACTTAGCACAGTTGTAATCACGATTAACAGCATATACTGTATTTTCGAGTATCATAAATAATTATTGACGAAAAAACTAGATAGCAACGTACAAAAAGACTATTCAACTATTTTACAAGGAATCCCTGTTTAGTTAATATAGCAAATACGTAGTATGGCAGGAATCCTATTTAGTTTACGATAAATATTGCCATCACGAATTTTACGATAATGGCTACAGTTGCAAATCGATCTAATATCATCAATGGAGTAAATTGTACCTACAGAATTGTGTTTTAGCTCTCAGTATATTGAATTGACATCATGGAATGATTGATTCACCCACTATATAGTAACAGCAAAGATATTGACGCTTTTACTGCACTTTCAATTCGCGTACTAAAGGACGTGGCAAGTCTAGACTATCAGTTGAATCATGATCATGCCCTATGTCAAAGATCTTTGGATCAAGTCCCTCCAGTTTCGATATTCTACAATGCCTTAGAAAAATAGGTGAATATGACAGCTCAAATATTAGCAAAATGAAAGTGCGATGTGATACGCCATCCTAGATTCATCTTGTAAAGTATTACGATAAAAATTCAGTCAATTTATTAACAAGTAGTGATATCAGACATAAGTAAATAGATTAAGCGCTCTTATCACTAGATACATAACTTATACGAACCATGGAAGGCGATAACCATTAGATAGCAATAAAGCGTAATATATTTACAATATGAAGGGAAATAAGTGATTCTAGTATCGTCATGAAATTATGTCCATAATTTCATAATCAACACCAGCAATAACTTTACGCCTCAAAGAAAGTCTTTGATAGGAGTTGTCGTCTTGTAACTGAATAACGATGCCAATTGGATGATATATTATCATCGTCCTAACTAAAATAATAAATTCTCCGTTCTTGGCTACATGCTACATGCACGTATCATTTCTTCAGCATCATATTTTGTAGTTTCAAATTTCTATCGGCGTATTCATTCAAGTTACAGCAATGACACAGCGCATTATATATCATTCAGATGCTAAGTGAAATTTTCTTGCAATGCTTTACCTATAACTCAATACATCATAACTAAGAGTACACGTATAAAATTGATACATCATTATAACAGTATAAACTGCATCTTGATATTCTGTATAGATACAACGGTTAGGAAAATATTGATCAACGTATTTGTTATATCAAATGCAACATTGATTACACATTATAAAATGGTACTCAGTTAGTGCTCATTTAGCCGTCTTAAAAGTTGAAGTAGATTTAGTACTTTACAGTAGTCGATACTATGCTTAACAATTTATAATACTGTACAATGCACTATTACAAGGTATCCTCAGAGCCAACATCGCCATGCGGTTGTAATCCACGCTCCAACATGGCTTGATTTCTAAGTTTGGTTTCTTCATCTCTGCGCTGTAGTTGTTCTCTTTGAGCATCCAATATGTCTTCGATGGAGACTTTTTGTAACTGCGTTAAGTCTTTTTTGTCATCCTAGGTAAGATTACAGACAAATGAATTCGTTGTTGGAAGTCAAAGCTACAGTAGATTAGTACTTGCACATGTTGAAATGACACATGACATAGTTAAGGCACTCCTTGCACTATAAATCTACAATGCAATCTAAATCAAAACAGGCTTTGGCTAGTGGCGAGCGATGCCAAGGAAGGTCGCTGTTATCAATGCTGTAAGTCAGCAAAGGTTTGGTTTGGTACTAATTTATATAGCAACTTGGTCGAAACAAGCTTATTTGTTTCACTATTATTAGCAATAAATCTGTAGAGCTCACCATTTCGCCTAAAATGGCGACATTATCGCCTCGTATAACAAATAAGCCTCGAGGGATATCACCATACTGTTTACCAACATGAATCCTTTCTATGGTATCTTGAAGGACTAAATTAGCTAATAAATAGAAATTGAAAGCATCATCAACTCCTAATCATTCTATCAACAACGTCTTATTACTTCAAAACTCATCTCTAGGTACAGCTACTTTTTCTTACCAAATTGGTCAACACTTCTTAAAAAACCGATCAGAGTTCGACCATCTTTCAAGACTATCATTAACTTTTCTATCATTGAATCCAATTTAGCTTGCAGTTAATTATTAAAACATTAACATAGCACTCTACTACAGCAGTCATCCATGCTAAGTACTCTGATTGCTCCTCATCGGAGGTCGAACAATAAAGTCAACTTACTATCAATATCCGACATCAAATTAGCAGTATATGCCAAAACACTGTCTAAATCAGCCATGTTTATTACGCGATAGCAATAGCAGTAGCTACAGTGATACCTTGACAATTTTCGAAGCGCAACACCTAAGCAAAAGCAATTACTAGAACCTTAGTATCCACGTCGCATCGACCAAATCTCTCAATTCTACAGGGCAGTTTGGGCTAGTTTTGACCAGATTTCCACTTTTGAGCTTGATGTTCGTGGCGGAGTGGAAGATAGACGACGATAGCAAGGTTTGGCTGATGTACATGAATGGATCATTTCTTGACAGTGCCAGTACGAGACTACCAGTATGTTTTACGTTATTGTATAGCCATACTAATTCGACACCTTTGTTGTGCATCCTTGCAATGTCTGTCCGTGTACAGAGTTTACCTTACCTCGATAGGGGATCGCTGTGGTTTTTCTGGTCATTCTACTATACTGCAGCACTGAAACCGTCGACTGTACTGTACAAAGCCAAATGGTGGGCATCCTGGCAGCCATGATCGACTTTCATCATTCGTTGTCAGTCTACTGTATGATTACAGAGGTATGGTACAGTTAAAATGACCAGCAAACACAGGGACTGGACATTCTTAGACTGACGCATGGACTGATCGACCATGACTCGAAAGTCTCCTTTAGTAGTTACTGCAACCTATGAGAGCTATTTCAACGTCATTTCAAGATAATTTACAGTGTTGTGATACGATCACATCTCTAATAATTATAATCAGCCTAATCGATGACCGGTAATTGGCAGGAGAATGGCAGCAATCCATCAAGAAGGCATCCTGGTAGCCTTGAGTCTACTGTATGATTACAGAGGTATGGTACAGTTAAAATGACCAGCAAACATAGGACTGGACATTCTTAGACTGACGCATGGACTGAATGACCATGACTCGAAAGTCTCTTTTAGTAGTTACTGCAACGTATGAGAGCTATTTCAACGTCATTTCAAGATAATTTACAGTGTTGTGATACGATTACATCTCTAATAATTATAATCAGCCTAATCGATGACCGGTAATTGGCAGGAGAATGGCAGCAATCCATCAAGAAGGCATCCTGGCAGCCTTGATCGACTTTCATCATTCGTCGTTAGTCTACTGTATGATTACAGAGGTATGGTACAGTTAAAATGACCAGCAAACATAGGACTGGACATTCTTAGACTGACGCATGGACTGAATGACCATGACTCGAAAGTCTCTTTTAGTAGTTACTGCAACGTATGAGAGCTATTTCAACGTCATTTCAAGATAGTTTACAGTATTATGATACGATTACATCTCTAATAATTATAATCAGTCTAATCAATGACCGGTAATTGGCAGGAGAATGGCAGCAATCCATCATCTAGAAGGCTCTTGGAGAACGACGGCTGAGTTACGCTGCCGTAGTAACGATAACAGAAGTATATTTAGACTCGCGTCATGGCTCATGTTTTGTACGGTACACTACCAAAAGGCATCCAGGTCGTATGAAAACCTACAGTATGTGGACTGATGCACAGTGTACAGTGTACAGTACAACGTCGATCAAGTACTGTAGCCAGATCCTGTTTCCACGGTTTCCGTTCGAGCATCGAGCCTGGCTTCTGCGTTGGATGCGCTCATGGACTCCGCTGGACTATTCTACCAGTAATAAATAGAGAATTGAATTTAAAACGCTGCTAGTAATTGATCATGTCAATAAAGAGACAAAAGTAGAAAGCCTACACCGAATCTACAGTAACACCCGACGCTTTATACCAAGGATACCTGCTTTCACGTATACTGAAAGGGATCGATGCAAGCAATAGACAGTTGGAACATGTTTTAAAGTCTTGCCACTGCTTTCAACGTTATCCATACCATGCACACGAGTAGGTGGCTTGCATAATTTGTGTGTACGAATTGTTTTCGTTGCTTGCTCAATGAATAGTCAGAATAATTATTCTCCATCTGCAATCACTGTTTCTAATCTTTAGCCTTCAGTGTGACCAAGCTGTAGAGACGCGTGTATACTGTACAATCCTTGCTTGAATATGGCTCGACATGAATAAATTCTGCTAGAGCGTACAGAATAAACATTCCACAAAGTCGCTCGCCTACATCAAGAGCTCAAGGCAACTAGCAACCTCAAAATCCACATCGAATAATTATATCGCACAGCTATTTCCTTCCAAAGAATATTACGGTACGTCAAAGTAGATATAAATTGTATAGTGTACAAGGTTAAGCATAGAATCTGCCAATCGACACCGTTGATCTATGATTGACATGACTTCGACAGAGCGCTTGATTAAGAGTGAGTCCTTTTTCCGTAGTCACAACGTAATAAAGCTTAAGCAATGCAATATTTCATAACTTAGTAATTGAATTGAACGTTAGCTTTGCTGGAGTAAATTAACGAATAATATTTGTGCTTTATTTTGCAGCAATGGCAACTGTATTCCTTACATTTTAGTTGCATGCTCCATCGTCACGTTTCAATGAGATCATCGCGTCAAATGCCTACAGGATCGATTGATCATAAATGGCCAATAGCTAACATCATCAGTTTGTCATGAACTAGATTGTAATAATTCTTGGATAATAATTGCTTATAAGCAGACCTGGAAATATTATAAAATTCGGAATGTTTGACTAAATTAAGAATTGCAGCGATCGCGATAACATTCATCTTTGAAAGTTTGTAAAGTTTCAAAAATAACTAGTCTTCTTGCCTTCTAAATCCTCGAAAGAGCATTACTCTCTGGGATTTCACTATCCTTGATACAAAAAACAATTACCTTTTATAATTATTTCCGCAAAATTAATTTCCTATCTATCAGTGTCAAACCTACTGGCTTTAATTTAAACTCACCTTTATCTCAGTTTTTAAGTTACGATCCACCTATTTTTACATGACTCGTTTATAAGGGCTAACAACATTCATTTAAAATGTTTAATTGTCCTAAATGTGCTAATGGCCCTCAATTTGACTCTTTGCTGGGGTTAAAATATCATTTAGAAAGTTATCATCCACATGGCTATCCTTCTTCTCCCCAATATGGTCAAGTTATACCGTCTTCACAGTATACACCCCCGAATAATCATTCTCTACAGCAGACTTCACCTTCAAATCTATTATCATTATTTCCAAACTCACCAACATATTACAGTAATGATACAATAAATGGAAATAAGTTTGCTACAAAAGATAGCGTTCAGCAACATCATGACACTGCAATGTATACTTCACCTTATCGTAGACATCAAGGTGATGATATAGCAAATGCTTCTAATCTAACTCCAACGTCGTTGCCTACAAGCAAGCAAATTCACTCCTTGCAAGGATTTTATCCTCTCCATTTCGCCAGCAGCCCATTTTTAGCATCCAAAATCTCAACTAATCATGCCTCTTCGCGATCCGATTTTAGTTATCGTCAATTCACTCCTTTAGATGATCATCAATACAAGCTCTCCAATGTCCTCGATAAGAGCATGCAATCTAAACAAGAACTGTTACAGCTACAAAAAGTATTAGACCAACGTAATTATCAACTAGTAGAGATGAAAGCTGAACTAAAATTAGCAAAGTTAGAAAAGAATCGACTAGAAAGTGAAAGAAGTTACATGAAGGCAGAAATTGATGCAAATGAAGCAGTTATTAACAAATTAGAGCACAAGTTAAGCCGGCGAGAAAGGTTTGAATTGTTATAAAAATATAGGCTGACTCACTTTCTGTAATGTTCTGTGGTCGTTTCATGCATTTTTTTATTTCATAAATTAGAATGATTAGATCATATTCTAATAGTATCTATAAAATTTTTCGGTTATAATCTTCAAGTGATGCTCATAAGAGGTTTTGCAAACTAACAGAATGTAAAGCCAACCGATATAAATCAATCAATTATTATGATCTGTTTATGAACCAATAAAGTAGCAGTGAAAACGAAAGCAAGCATATTTACATTTATCGTAGCATCCTACAAAAATGTAGATAGTGCTGCATGTATAACTGTAGAAATACTGTATTATCATTTTATAGCTGCTGTTATATATGAAATGAACAGCTAAATAACGTCTAGATTTTATCTGCTTGCTTATTAGGGAATTTCAAGAATTGGAGAGAAAGACTACCTTTCGCAACGATGTGGCTCAAGGAAGAATTGTACCTGAATCAACATACCGATATTCAGCTTCTCCGTCTGTCGGTGGACCAATGCAGCAAACTTTTCAAAGACAGAGTCGTCGTAGCAGTATTAGAAGTTACAAGCATGATGATATTCAAGTATCCAGCAATAGTGGGGGCAATAATGAAGTTGCTACGCGAAAGATATCCCATGATCAAGGTTATGCTCCATTGGATGAGTTAGTTCATGCCGCCATGACTAGTAGGAGGCAGTCCAGCGCAAGTAAACAGTATCAAAGTGATGGTGATAGCTCAAGGAGAAAAACACCTACATCAGATGAGCAAGCACACCCAAATCAGCTCACTATGTCTCTTCCAAGTAGTAATTATGAAATAAATCAGCTAAATGATGATCAATCGACAGGCAGTTTAATAATGAGCGAAGTTATGCTTAGAAGAAATATGTCAGCTGGTAGTAAATCAGAATTTGATGGCTATATCGCAAGTCCGCACGGAACTCTTTCCTTACCTATAGAAGACATTGACGATTTACCTTGCGAACTGGATCCTCAAGCTGAAGTCAATTTGGCGAGCCGCACAGGTTCAACTAGTGAACATGTTAGTTTAAGACTATCAAGACATAACAGCAATACTGGGAAGTCTCCAAGAGGTAGAATAATTCATAAGATGCGGTAGTCTATTTTTTCCTCCTCCTCTTTCTTAACTATATAATTATCGTTATTACCCAGTCCTTAACCGGTAGTTCATACTTGAGCTTACGTGTATATCATTTTACTCTTAACAGCTCTGTTTCAATTATTACTTGTTAAGTGGTATTTGAATTACTCCGTGTATCTATGATCATGACAATCTTATGTAGCAATCGTCTGTACTAGCTGTCGGACTATAACTTATGTTGTATATATATTTTTAGATTCGTATTTACCAAGGAACATTCACAGGACGCCCAGTAAAGCCTCTAGTATATATCGACATGAATCCAATAGATCAAATCGATCACAACGGGTATCATTTAGCAAGACATTTTCCACTAGTCCTAGTTTACAACGGCAAATTTTCCATGGTGACACCATCGGTAAATTACTTGGCCGATTTGGCCAAGATCAAGTTACATCCTCATTTGTAGCTATATTTTCCTATCTTGGGATTAAGGATAAATTAAAGGTTTCAGAAGTTTGCCGCTTTTGGTGGACAGTTAGTCGTCATCCCTCTTTATGGTCAAAAATTCACTTAAGAAAAACTCGCGTTTCTTTTGAGGTAATTCTACTAACTTTGCAGTTCTTATTAAAAAATCAAACCGTATTTGTTAATATTAAGTACAATTATAATTGGCAAGGTTTAATGAATGAAACCAAACTTACATGCTACAATCTCGTTTCTAATAATACTTAATTGTAATTTTGATTACTGGCTAATTCTTAGGCATTTGTAGCGATGAGTAATTGGGCAACACAGTTGGAAACTCTAACAGTCGAAGGTTAGACGTTATTATAGATAGTAGTTTTGCGCTGCTGATAGTGCTGGGATTCTTAAATGCTTGATATACAGTCATATTTCAGTACCCCAAATCTATCTAATTCTATAGCTTTTGCTAAACTGTTAAAGATACCATGTTTCGATGATATACATGTAGTTTACACCCTTTACTCAAGAATCTTACGGTGTAGCCGGCAGAAATAAAGATGCTTTAATTTCCGAACTATACTTATTGCTAGATATTAAGCCTAGACGTCGATTAGTTGATGAAGAAGAAAATGATTACAAAAAAGCTATGACGTACGTATGATTGCAAATATTATGATCGCCTAATTGATCGTCCGTAGTAAAGTCTACTTCGATTGTCATGTAATACTTGAAATTCTTCTCAACACTAATGATTATTTTAATCGCCTTTTGGTTTGTATTATTGGCTATAAAACTAACCAATAGTCTAATTTTTAGAGGGTCTCTTGAGAAAGGGCTGAGTAAGTTATTAAAAGCTTCACGAGGAAATATAATATCCATCAAAATTATTAATTGTGGTCATTTAGTGACTTCAAAGTAAGTTTCTTTAAGTTTAATATAATTATAAAATACATACCTTTACTAAGTAGATAGTATTTCATCTTGTTAATACTTTAGGCCATTAAAAGTCATTGCCTTAATCTGCTCCATTTACTAAATTTTTATTTCTCATTTCTTTCCTGGAATGTTTAAGCATGTTTAAATTAATGGCGAATTACTGCAAAAAAATAAAATACTTAGCCTATATTTACTGTATGGATGTTCCTGGAAGGGATCTACTATGGACATTTGGCAGTACTTGCAAAGATATTATCGATTTAGCTATACTACCCCATCCATCAAGGTAAGCAAACGCTCATATTGTATTCCAAATACTGAAAAATAAGTTACGATAATGTGTAGTTGAGACTTTATAACGACATTTTGGTATCATCTGATAACCTAATTTATCACGTCCGTAGTGCAAATGCTGAACAATTCAATAATTCATGCCTTCATGTTATTGGTAAAAGTTGGCTTCAATTATCTTCGCTCAAGATCGGCAGTCCAACAATATCAGACAGAGGATTGATAGCAATTGGTATTTATAAAATTTTTGTAGTCACATACGTAATGCGTTCCCAATCATACTTGTAGTATATTCATCGTAGTAATTTGCCCTGGATAGCAAATCATCTGTTTTACCGTAGTCACATGAGGTTACACCTAATGTGAATACTGAAAATTTTTGTGAAATATTTACATGTACATATAAATTTTGTAAATTCAACTTGGCTTTATTTTATCCATTGTAATTTAGCTGTCGAATGTAAGAAACTAAAGCATTTACGGTTAGATCGCTCAATGGAACTGTCATCAGAAGTTGCTGAACAAATGTGCAATTTTGGATTAAAGAGTATTGAGCAAATTGAATTTACCAATACACCAATTTCTCATGAAGCTATTCGTCATTTTGCAGGTTCGTGAATATATTACATTCTTACTAGTTAAACCATCCCCGTAAATTTTAAGCTGTGAGAATTGATCAATACCCAAGCTTATGTGGTCCATTATATAACTCAAAATTTTGAATTAATTACCTTATATTCTAGTTCTTACAAATATCTCTGTCTAAATTAAACGTACCGTATGTTTCCAGTGATTACATAATTATATACTATTTCTGATAGTGTACATCTACATAAGATCAGCATGTTAGTAAATAACTCTTAGGTGAAGTTAAAGAATTCAATTATGTAAATTACTTTAAATGTGAATCGTAATGATAATTAATATAAGAGCCATAAAATTAATCATACTTTAGCGTATAACCTGGATCAATGACTCTTCTCAAGGCACATTCATGAACTTATTCACTAATCGCTCAAGCTAATAATGCCTGGCAGCATTTAATAACTTAATAATAGTTAATCCATAAAGCAAGAATTAGTTAATAAGTGTATTAACCGTCAAATATCGCTATTCGTGGTGACGTGTTTTTTTAACCTTGCATTAGAAAAATGTGGTAAGATTAAAGCGATCTTGATCCAATTATCTATCGAAGACTTCTTCGAAGACATCCACGAAAGTGTCTTTATCGAAGAATATAATAACATTATCGATAATCTTTTGGTAAGCAGAATATTTCTAGCTCACATAGCATCAACGTACACATTAACTTAAATTAATCAACAGTAGCTAATTAATACCATTGACTTATCACTAATCATGATTCAACAATCCTTTATAGTACTAATTTATCACATTGTAATAGCTAACGATATACTTTGATACCTTTTGCCTAGGTCATGAAACGAGAATTTATTGACAGTAAACAAATTATTATTAAAGCGGAAAAAGTGCCATTACTTACTCCTTATCAGTAACAAATCTAAGAATGATTGAAAGGACTGTACAAATGACATTTAATTAACAAGGATCCAATTCTAAGGATAACCCGTTTCATCTTGCAGCAATTGAGAGAATAAGAAAAATCGTCCTTATTTTGTCATGTGATATTAACGTTACGTTGTATAGCAGTAGTTTCTTTTCGTTGATCTCTAAACTGGATTGAAATGATGCGCTCGAGTTGTAAACTCAAAATGTCCTTTAATATATTCTGTATCTAAACTCTTGTAATGTAATATTCTGAATTCCTTGTCTTTTGAAGAAACAACTATAGCCACAACTAGAATTGTTGTCCCTTTATATGCATAAAATTTTATTACAGCGAGCGAAAAAATTGCAAAATTTCAATGCAAGCTATTACCTACTTTTGTTAATGATAGGTTTATAATTTAAATATTTTCGATAGTTCGGAAAGCACTGTATATTGTTGCAAATTAGATTAGATTGTCGCTAAAAGCCTTCGAAAGCGAAAATTTGCTTTAAATCGAACTATATCCTTTAAAAATTCTTTCCAAATGCCGATTTGCTTAATTTAAAGATCTGTATAAATCTAATAATACCTTTACACCCAATAAATAAATAGTGCTAAAGAACGAATAATCTTCGTCCTTCTTCCTTTGTAACGTTTTCTTGTTGCAGCATTTAAGCCTATTATACTTCTCCTGTGCATGTCGTGTATTTTTTTCTATTCTGTACAATTGCAATTTAACATTATATTCAAACGATAATATAGACTTAATTAAATTGCATTACAATCGTAAAATGCCATGGCGCTGTTCATTGTTCGTTGCAAATAAATTCTTGCATTACAAACCTTGATTCATGATATGCCTAAAAATGCTATCCTTTCTAATGCTACAAAAGATAGATTACCTAGATACTATAAAATAACTGGTTATCTCCAAATACTCTGATATTATAAAATTCTGAATCAATTTCGTTAATTTGTCTCTCGCTCTAGCAAGTTATAAATAGATATCGCAAATAATTGCCATATCAAAGCTAACAAGCTTTCAAAGTATGTAAATTGCATAATATTTAATATGCAATATAAATAACTGACAATGTGGAACTATCATTCAATTCCCATTCATCAAAGCCAGGTGAGGCTTCAATTATAAATTATAGGATGCCTGAATCTTTCAATAATCCAGAGTATTTATCCCGTTCAGCTGTTAATTTTTCTATCTCGTTGCCAAGCGTTTCAAGATTGGTCTACATTAATAGTTTGTAACAGAAAGAGAAACTTCAGTAGGGCCAGCCTACGGTAAAATAATACTGATCTTTCGTATTAATAAATTTATAGCAATGAACCTTTATAGTGATATTTTTCAAGAGCGTATCTTCCAGGACGCTTTGCAACTTTTTGTTAATTTCCAATGAAAGCTCTAATGTCATATCTTTATCAGCTTGGTGAGAGCTAAAGACGGAAGCCATTATGCCACCTTTACGGCTCAATTTCGCCTGTAGTAAAGCAACAAATGATATTGACGATTAACAGGTAAACTATTTCACAAAACAATAAAAGTTATTGTTAACGTGAATATCCCGTCTCAATTAACCTTATTCATATCCATCGATGAAGATGCAAGCATTCCTGATTCTTCTCGCATCACATAGGATTGAATTATTCTAAGAACATGTAACGGTTATTATTGCATGGTTACTAAAATTAAATTATGGTCACTTTAGAAGACATACTTTGATTTCTTCTGTATATCTTCAACCAATTGATTAATATGCTCTTCAAGAAATTCTAGTTTTTCATTTTTCCGAGCATGATCTTTCTGCAGTCGACACACGCGATCTAGTAGCAAAGCCTTCTCTGGATCTAATTCCGTACTTGAAGAAAAACTAGCTCGCTTAGCGCTATTCTCTTGTTCCTGACAGAAATAAGTACTTTGTGTCAATACAGTCCGGTAGAACAAAACTATCATTGCATTTAACATTGTGTCTAACCTCAGGCGGTTTATCCGGACTAGAAAGATTTGAGAGCCCTTCAACAGAACCGTTCGGAGACCCAGAACGCGATCTCGGTTTTAAACTTTGGCCGCTTCCCTCAGCAACATTAAGTCGCCTATCACAATAAATACAGTAAAATAAGATACTAGATCTCTCTAAATTTCGTATTTGTGTATTAAACGATCCAACCTTTTAGTCTGCTGCAATTGCCTTGACATGTCCTAACCAGACAAACAATAAATTACTTTTGTATGTATGTATAACCAGCAAACGTTATCCTAAAGAGCTATAATTCTAAATTAAATATTCAGTGTTTGTATACTTTCATAGCCAAGGCATGCTTCCGCTTAAGGACCCTCAATTCGTTCTGTTGGTCTTCAAGTGATACTGATAATTCTTCAACTATTAAGGCAAACAAGTTTAATATCTTAGAAACTATTGTCATGACATGCATCAGGTACAATTTAATAAGGAAAATTTAGCAAACCAATTACTAGGCATATTATATTATAACTGATTCATTTGATTTGAGACAAGAGAAGATACAAGCAGATTTTAGCATAATCTAGAAAGTACAGCTATACATCTTGTAAAACTCTAAATTTGTAAGAATTTTTCTTATATGATAAATATAGACACTAGTATCTAACACATTTTTGAGAAAAAATTTCACAAACTTTACTATGTTGGCTAAAATATTTACCAGATTTACTCTTTTCCTCTAATTGCTTCGTCAATTCGTTGTTTTCATCCAGCTTAATGTTTAAAGCATTGCGCTGTTAGATAAAATTAATCGATATGCAATATTGATAAGCGGCAGCGAAAGCGAGCAAAGAGCTTGAAAGTGTCATACGGTAAGAATAAAGTTGGATAAAAACTACCGTAGTAGCAATAGCAATAGCAGTAGCAATAGCAATAGCAGCTGTAGCAGCTATAGCAACATTTAGCATTAAGTGAGTTAAAGTTTACCAATCGTTCACATTCAGCTTTCATTGACTTGGTATCATTAACGATGGCTTCTTTTTCTTTCTTTAGTTCCTCAGTCTGAAATAAATCATAGCATTGGAAGAGTTTAATAATTTGTAAGGTTCCGATATCAAATAAATAATCATGCCAAATGTGTGACATAACCCTGACATAATCGAAAAAATAGTAATTATGAAAGAGCTGTATCTCGTGAGATCAACACGGCAAATAGGAGCATATAGCTAGGATATCAGAATCGCTTTGACATACACAGCGAAAAATTATACCTTTGCTTCAACGTTGTTATATTCCGACAGCAGTTGAGCATTTTTGGCGGTAATTTTTTCGGCGAAGCTCATCATTTCAGCTTCTTTGTCATGCCATGTATCGACAACAATCTTAACTTCGGCATATTTAGCATTTACGGATTTCAATTCTTCTTCAAGTTTGTTAATTTCATGCTGTTTCCTATAGAGAAATTACGCCAAACTGTTAATATGGCTCATTTTTGTGTTGCTATACAACAAGAAGGATAAACTAATCCTTTCTAAGGAACAATTTAAATAGTAACTTACTTATCATATTTATCTTTAACAGCCTTAGCTTCCTTTTGTTGTTCTAGTAAGGATTCTTTTTCTTTTTTATGATTAGAAATTTTAGTTTCTAAATCACTAATAGTTTTACTGTGCTTTGTTTTTTCCGATTCCAAGTGTTTGATCTGATAGCAAATTTTTTAAAATATTGTTTACAATCTGACTTGTAGCTATAAGAGAAGTTAAGTATAATCTTTGAACCTGTTGTGCTTGCTTTTTTGACTTATCTAAACTTTCCTTATAGCTGCTTTTTAACGATTCGAGCTCTTTTAACTTCATTTCATATATCTATTATATATAAGATATACCATAAAAGTTACAGTATTTCAAAAATTATCTGAGCAGCTTGTTATAATTATTACAGCATCGCTACCTCTTTTTGATCATCCCTTTCCCTTTCAGTCTTCTTAATTTTCTCTTCTTGCGACTTCAAACTTCCATCAAAAGATTCCTATGAACGTTTTAAGAGATATTAGACCATACTACAAGGAGAACTTTTCAACAACGCAAAATTTTTCCTGGCAGTCAGTTTAAAATTAATTGATACCTGATGGTTCTTTATTTTATTTTCATACTCTAAGCGAGTTCTGTCCTGTTCGTCCTTTGATTCCTGCAATTTTTTCGTAGTTTCACTCCATTTCGTTTTAGTTTCCTGTGAAGACACAATTAGTTATTCCTTTAATGTAGTATAAAAAGGTAAATACTATAATTTACTATACAAGTATACCTTATGAGCATCTAGTTCCGTCTTGAGTTTGTTTTGAGCCCATTTAGTCTTAATAACTTGTGAATTTATGTCTTCATCTTTCTTTTCCATTTCCTTCTTAAGCTCTTCTATCTCGTTATTCTAATGTTTCAACAAAATAAATAAAACTATCATTAGTCTTCAAATCATTATTCGACGTAGTATTTCTATGTTTCCTTTCCTACCTTTGCTTGTAATTCTCTTTGAAGTTCGCTGATATTACCTTTTAAGTTACTAACTTTTTCAAGGTGCCTCGCAGTTTCCTATTCAAGCAAGGTATTTACTGTCTAAAACTGCTTTATAATCGTGATTACTATTTTTATAATATTTGTATTACACACCTTTTTACTTTCATCACTTTCTGATTTTATAACTTCCATCTCTAAGACGACCTGCATATATTTTTCCTCATATTCTGATAGACTTTTCTTAATAGCGCTAGTCTCAGACGATGATTCATCAAGGGATTTTGACATATGCTCTTTCATAGATTCTATCTCCTTTTTCAACAAATTAATAGTTCGTTTAGCCATCATGTCATGTGATCCTAATTTGTCTTTCATTTTTGCTAATTCGTCTTCTTGTTTCTCGTTTCTGTCTTGAAATTCTTGTATTCGCTGATAAAACATTTCGCCTTCGCCAAGGTGCAATTGCTCTTGCATTTCCGTATCTTGCTTTAATTTATCATATTCTTCTACTTTTCTATTTAAGG